CGGAAAAGACTGAGAAGGGAGGAGGAAGAACAACAGGCATTCCAAGAAGCTTACCTCCTCATGAACTGTGGCCCAATGGGAAGGAGCTAGACCCAAGGCATTTCAATGAAGAAGAAAGAACAGCCTTCACCAAGACCGATGCAAAGGAGTGGACATCGTGGATTTAAAACAAAGTTGTTTGCAGGTTGAGTGATGAAGAGATCAAGACCGTCAATCCCAATAACGGGCTCCGTGCACCAGCCGGCATGATCCGGGTGAACAAAGGTGAGCTGGATGGGACCTTTCAACCAAAGTCCCGACTGGATCCACATCTGGGATCCTTTCACTCGGATGCCCCAACAACCACATGGTCAGCAGTGCAGTTGACTAAGAGCATCGCCCTCACAAAAGGCTGGGATGCTGCATGCTTCGATGTGAAGCCAGTTTTTCTGTCGGGAAAGCCAGTTGAGAGAAGAGTGATTATCACAGCACCACCAGAAACAACACCTTCGTCGATGACATGACGGGCTATGTGCTGAAGATCCAACCAGCTGAAGTGAAGACAGAGAAGAACATGAAGCTGGAAGGAGAGCAGTTGTCTTCCTACAGGAGGTTGGCTATGCAGTTGAGGTGGCCGGCTCATTGGGTGATGTCTTAGTTTCTTTACCGAGTGAGTGTTTTGGCTCAGTTGGTGGGAACAGCAGAGGGCAAGGACCTCATTACAGCCAACCAGATCCTCACCCAGATGCAGAATGCTGCCAAAAATGGAGGTGCCAAGAATGTGTTGCACCCCATCCAAGGAACTCAATTGTTTGTGAGCTACTTTGATGCGTCCCTCGGAAAAACGGAAGCTATGAGTGCTCAACAGCCTAAAGTCCACTTCGTGACGAGCAAGGACGTGGAGGTTCGCCCGACAAGGGCTAGCCCGCACGGGGGGTAGAGGACGCTACTACGAACAAAGGGCATCGCTACTAGGAGCAAGGACGCTACTGGGGGCTCCTGGCCCTACTACTAGGAACAAGAAGCTATTAGAAACGAGAACCTTGCTAGCAGCAAGGTGCACCGGGTGGTTCAGTCGAGTTTGGCCGCCGAGGCTCGCCCCATGACTTTGGCAGCTGACAGGTGACAGATCCTTTACAACAGAGCTGCTCTGTTCCAAGTAGAGACCTTAGTAAGGCCAGGAGCCCCTAGTAGCGTCCTTGTTCTTAGTAGCATTGCTTGATGCATTACAATGGCTGTTGCAAAATCTCCCCTCAATGGAGAAAGGAGTTGAGTGTTGGGGGAACCATCATAACTGATGCAAAAGGGCTCAACGACCATGTTCAAAAAGCCGGAAGCATGGCGAGTGAGAAACAGACTGCCTGTTACTACTAGTAAGGCACTTCTTTCTAATAGCGAACATTGTTACCACTAGTAAGGCACCTGTTACTACTAGCGTGGCACTTGTTACTGCCTTGGACATGTTGGTGAAGATTGGTGGAGGACCCGGTGCTTTGTTTACGTTGGGTTCGCACGTGGAAGCAGTTGGCTGACCCGTTGACAAAGAAGATGGCCACAGAGTTGTTGCAGAAGTTTCGTGCTTCACAAATGCTTGGCCTTGTGGCCACCAAAGAAGACAATGAAGAAGAAAGTCGACGATCAGCCATTTGCAAAGCACAGAGGGACCAACGCAAGCAAAGGATGGCAAAGACTTCCAACAAAACCTTCCTTCCTCAATGTGATCATTACAGAGGCAAGTCGGCTTGTGGTTGGAATTGCATGTTTTTGAAAACAGGCATCAATGACCGCACGCGCTAGAAAAGCATTGCGAGTTTGCGCGTTGCACACACATTTGCATTTTCTTGTGCGCCTTGGTTCGGTTACCCTTGGAACCCTACTTTTCTTGGGAGCGGCGCCCCATTTGCAATCTGCATTGATGTTTCTCTGGTGTGTCATATTTCGGGCCTTTCCAAATTTATCCAAATTTCATGTTCATGAAATGCGCACAACTTCATTTGGGTTTTATATACATGTTTTAATTATATAAGCAAAAAACTAAACGATGACCGGAGAACGGCCAAAAAACACAATTTCACCATCATAAATTCATGGATTACAAAAACTCTAGGTTCATGTCACCGGGCTGCACGAGGCCCGGGCAAAGCATCGACATGTATGGACACAGAGAACAACACCCGGGATAACAAGTGAAGGACGACAGGAGGGTCACAGGCTTGGGGCATCAAGAGCTGGCTGTGCATACAGGATGAGAACACCCGGAGCATAAGAGGACACCCCAGAGACAGGGGCGGCCACAGACTGGGACCGGCTTCTGCGTAGAGTGCCCCAACAGTAAAATGCATCGCATGAAAGGGAAACCAAAAATTCCAGTGAATACATACAGACATAAGGAGAATGCTGGATTTGCTCTTTGCTTTACACTTGTCTCTCCACCGTTTCTCCGTGTTACCCTGCAAAAAATACAAAAACGATTTGACTCTTCATTTCTTGATTCTGTTCGTATGGGTTTCCGCCTTTGTTTATCTTCTTTATGTTCTTTCTATATTTATATCATTCATTATCTTTCTATGTTCCTTTGACTTCTTGACTATGCTCGCTTATTCATATATGAATGTTAAAAGAAAACGCAAGCAAATCGTCACAGCAACCCCACGGCTGCCTTTCGGGCTCTGCTCAGCGGTTGGCCGGTTTTGACCACTATCCCCCGAGAAAACACCAACAAACTAAACTGGCTAACTCACACCGCACCCAGCCAGCAACCCACCCAGGGTGATGAAAGCTGATACGGTTGGCTTTCCAGGCATGACATCAGCAAATCCACAACCCCAGCCCCAACTCCATGCGTCACTACCATGATTCCATCCAAGTGATGCACTCATCAGGGTCTCCGTCCTTCAGAAATGCCCAGTCTCGCACTGCCAGATTTGCCAGCAATTCGCAGACCTCGCAGCAATTGCAAAATAAGCATGCGATCCACGAGACACAAGGAAAGCAAGCGGGCTAATGCTTGGCCAAGTGTGGCTCAAGTCATTTCCAAGAAAAAGTCCAGCCCCAGCTGCGTAAAGAATCAAGCAAGTTGTTGAGAGAATTCCAATCCAAGGCGGGCTGATCCAATCGTTGGCACGGTAGTCAATGTCAACGCATGTCAGGGTAATGTCACAAATCACCACCAGACCTCGCAAATGCATTTGCCAAGGAATGAGCACGTGAAACCGAAACTCCAAAAATTGTCGTTTAATACTCAATCACAGCAGCTTGATAACACATGTCTGGCCATGCAACGAAAATGCAGCAAATAATGAACAGAAACAGCACCGAGTCATATTTGTTACTCTCAACACTTGAACACTCATATATTGGCGTCACCGGAAAGATGTGCAACCTTGTGCACAGCCCAGGTGCAAGTAAAAAGGTCCCAGTAATTGGACTTCCTCAGGCAAAAAACGCTGGCAGGTCAAAACTGCATAGCAGCAAAGCTTGAATAGAAAGGCCCTTCAGCTACAGTAGCTGGGTTAAGTGAAAAAAAAAAAACCATGGCCGCAATGGCCCTAGCTACAGCACAAGTGGCATGGCTTGACAACCTTTGGCACAGTCACACTATGTCACGCGTGGAGCAACTAAGCACCCCGTGGCCGCTGGCAAAGGGCATCGAAAGCATGCAAGCGAGGCTCAATACTTTGGCAACCGTCACTCTGCACATGTTCATCGTCTCCTTGTCGATGCTTCGTGTCCTTCCAAAATCAAAAGAAGTGAAAAGCAACAGCTCAGAACAAAAAATTAACAAAAACATCAACGACCCGACGACCAGTGCACAAATGTGCCATTCAAGGCTTGCCAGCAGAAATGGTCGATCATCCTCGACTTGCCCTTCTTCAAGAATGCCGAGGCCGGCTTCACTACCTTGAAACAAGATGCTCCAAGCATGAAGGGTTCCAGCAAAAAAGGACCAGTGAGCTTGTTGCACCATCACGATGCAGATTTACTACATCAGTCAAGTCAAAAGGCCTTGCAAGTGTTCAGCACTTGGTCGTCTTGACTTGCACAGCATGAGATGGCGAGCTATAACCAAAACATAGGATACTGAGGAAAACTACAGCTAGTGATTACCACTATTTTGCATCCGCTGTCGTGCCAATTTAGCATGCAGTGCGTCCGACCAGCCATGCTGCCGATTTTGCTGGCTCAATCGCTGGAGCAGCCAGCCAACCAGACTCGGACTCAGCGTCTGCTCCATCTGCACTGGATGCGTCGGACGCATCCTAGGTCAAAAACGCAAAAGCTCAAGGAAATCACCCACTGTGGAATCTTTGGACTGCCCCCCAAACTCCTCCAGCCTCCTAATTTCTAGAAACCTTTCAGGAGTAATTGCAGCTCCGCCTTAATACAACACCAAATCCAATTTGGAAAAAGGCGCGGACAAAGAAGCAGATCCGGAGCCCGAGTGCTCACTGCCATCTGACCTGGCAACAGAATGGGTTCCTTTAGAGATCTTTACAATAAATGTTTAACTTCTGATCATCTGTCAAAGACATGCCCAAGAGATTCAACACGAGCTTTTCTGCAGTTTTGTTTGGGTTGACCGTGCCTCTGGCAGGGATTCTCCGAAGATTGTTCTGCATCTGCCATTCAACTCAATTATCCCCTCTCGCGGCTGGCGGGCTGAGTGGGGCTGAGTGGTCATGCAGCAGAACAAGGCGGGATCATTGAAAGTGCTGCCTTGAGGCCTTGCGCCAGCAAATGGCGGCGGTGGCATCAAACGCATTCCCATCAATGCATGTTCAAAGGCACACTGCTCAACTAAGCTGCTCGAGTCTCCAGTGAGACCGCAAGAGCACAATCTACAGGTTCTCGAATTGGCTTTTGGTTTCAAAGCAACAACGGCACAGGCACACCACCAGTTTGATGCAACATGCAACAAAACCTTCACAAAAAACGGGCATTGTTTGCAAAATCTGCCAGCTAGGAGTACAACTTTGCCTCGGCTATGACCGGCTATGAATGGTCTGACAACATCACCATGCCTGCCGCCACGGGCACGCTGCCTCAAGCAAAGACTCAACAGTCAGACAGTCAATGCTATACACATGGGTACACCCTTCCCTCCTTTCTGTCTTCCTCCCTCCCTTGTACAGCCATGCAAGTCTATCCGTGTCCATCAGGGGTGAGAAGGGTTTCGTATTCGTGCCCGTGCGCGGATTTCATGTTTGGTGCCCGCTAGTCAGCAAGTAAGTAAGCTTAGCAAGTAAGTAAGCTTAGCAAGTAAGTAAGCAAGTAAGGATGGAAGCAAGCAAGATCAAGCAAGCATCAAGATCTAGCAGAGTCTAGCATCTGCTGGATGCAATTGCACTCACCGTGGATGTAGTATCAACCATGTGTGCCAGCTTGGTTGCGGTTTGAAACTAGAGGACCGTCCTGCTGCAACCAGAGTAAGACTGGCCATGGGCCGGGCTACCTTCTGAATAAACTGGTTGTGGTTTTCTTGCTGCTCTGGTGGTGGATGATGGTGATGAGTCGAGTTGAGTTCGGTGTTTTGCCCATTGCGGTCCAAGCGTGGTTTTTACATGTTTGAGATCGATCGACTGGACTTAGCAACTCGGTTTCTGTTGGGATCGTTGTTTCTGTTTGAATGGCGTTAGTCAGTCGTGTATGTTTTCTTTTGTTTTTTTGCGGCTAGCGGCTATATTGGCAAATTGTGTGCTGCTTGATGCATTTTGGCCTCGGAATTCTGGTCCGCAAATTTGCTGCCTGGTCGAGAGGGGGTGGTTTCTCCCGGACTGTGGAGCCCAAGGAAGTGGCAACAGAAGATCCATGAAGATCCCAAGCCAAACATCCATAATTGGCCAAGATCCGCTGTCACGGCTTATGGCTGGCGGCACGCGAACTCGTCCAATGACCAGCAGAAAAGGAGCATCCAGACCGTCGCCTTGGAATTTTGCAATTCCGTATCACCGCTGACGGCGGCCTTGCCGTTTTAGGAGAAGAAACAGCCCGCATCAGCGTGGCCTCGGGTCTCACAATGGGAGTATGGCGGGCTTTCACCTTCCCTTCATCGTGCTGGATACACTACTTTCAAACCGGACTGGTTCGCTTCCAAAAGAACCCTTGGCACTGCCTACACAGTGAAACTTGCACAATTTCACATTGAATGGTGCTGTTGTGCATGGCATGCCAGTAGCTTGAAAGTTCCAACGATACCAAGTTGTTGTCATTTGGGAAGTGGAGATCGGTCATCTCATTGTGACAGACCTGTGGATGACACACCAGAAATGGGTTTCGTGCGTGGGCAGCTTGGGCTCGGGGACCTCCTCATTCGCACAATTCAAAAGTGCTCGGCCCTTTGGGCTGTGGGACGCCTGGATGTGCAGATTGGCCTCTCTTGTCCGAAGGCCAAATGCTGGCAACTGTTTCACTCTGGATCGCTTCAGATATCACTTCATCAATTCATCAATGACCATAGCAATGCAAAACAACCGTGGATTCATCGGCAGTTTCAGGAGATGCTGGACATCTCGCCGAAACCTGCATTATCGGGCATGATTGACGATTGCACGAAATTACATACAGTAAGATCAATGCTGGACTCGATGACCAGCTGCCATTCACTGTCACTAGTCACTAGCTGCACCCTGCATTGTCTAAGACTTCAACTGCACCCGGTCTATCTGGGTGCTGACGTCGACAACGGCGGCGACAGTGGAGCAGCACTTGTTCCTCTGGATCTTTTCACCGTGCTTCTACTGTGCAACTGACCACAGCACAGCCCAACCTCATCAAGCTGCAGTCACATGACAGTCATCCCTCACCAAAGCCGCTCGCGGCAGCAAAGGCAGAGTCTGATCAGCCAGGTGTGAAAAGTTGTGAATTGAAACTAGCGACCGGCCCCTGTTTCACCAGAATCGCAGAACGACCTTTCGCATTCAAAATAGCTGATGTTGCGCATGATCGTCGTCTAGTTTAGGACCGGAAATTACTTCATGAAAGCCCCGGACATAATTCAAGCAATGCAAATCAAATCTTCTCTGCTGAGTGGGTTCATGTCAAATCCAACATTGACAGTCTCTGTCTGCCACACATGCACGCCAAGAATGTACGTACTGTATCGGTTTGTCCCATTGCTGACTTGTTACTTGTTGATGCTCTGGCTCCAGTCATCCGAAGGCCCTTGATAGCTACCAGCTCTCTGCTCAAGGCACTTCTGCAGCATGCTTGCTATATCTTGCTATTGCTCTACCAGGCCATGATGGGCCTTACCTTTAACATCCATGAACTGTGGGGTTCCGCCCTTCACGACCCGAACCGTCCCGACCTTCACGCCATTTCACACCTAGCATGTGCCTATCCCTTGCACCCAACTGATCCAGCAAGCTGGTGGCCAAACGATTTCCACCAACTCTGATCTTCATGACTGTGAGTGTGAAGCACCATTTGGGGGCTCAAGGTCTTGTTGAACGCCTGAGCCCAATCAACAGGCTTGAACAATTCTGACTTTAACGAGCTTAGGCTTCGCCACTGACTGCTTCTGCAAGTGCAAGTCTGGTGGCTTGCAAGTCCATCTTGCGTTTCTCCTCACTCTTCACATCACTCTCTACGGCCCTACTGCCGCACGGACAGCTATTGTCCCCTAAGTCTCGATCGCTTGCTCGCTGCCATAGGTGCATCCGGCAGTTTAGGGTGAGACTGTCCATGACGAGCTATTTGCACCCATTGATAGCTTGGGCAGGAACACAGTCATCGCTGTGAAGATGTCAGTTCAAGCTTGACGTTGTTTACATGGTGCCAACGTTGCCAGTTTCATTTATCACTAGGCATTCGAACGACCGCATCGCGACAGCAAAAGGTCGCTGCTTGCCTTGTTCTTTGCTTGTTTGCGGCCACGCCTGTTTCTTCCCAATTTGCTTTTTGGGGTTGATTCGGCCATGCTGCCTGGTATGTGCACTGGACCTCAAGCACATAGTGGATTTGAGGGCATCCACTGCCTGGTGTTGGGGCTCCCAATGCAATTCCGTGGTCAGCCTTCGCATGGGCTTGGCACCAACCTCGACAACAGCATCAGTATGCGGCTCCATGTATGGTCAATCCTGGGGTGACCCCAGCACCAGCCCAGTGCAGCCCCAACAGGCGGGACCAGCCACAGGAGCCGGCAGTTGGTCCAAACCGAAACCCGCATCAGTTCAGGAGCCAGCCACTTAGACAGGAGGAGAGCCAGATTCTCCTGATGATGAACCACCAAAGGAAGATGCTTCTCCCGCCCCAACCTCAGAGATCCGGGTTGAAGCGGGGTGGAGAAGGACAACAAAGGCCGAAGAGCTCCCTACGATCAGTGAAAATAGAGGAGTTCTAGGGCCTAGGGAACAGGACAAGGCGTTTGAAGTGGAAGAAGACAATTCAGGCACAGCAGTGTTTGTGTGGGCTGGTGAGCACCAGGAAGGAAGCTCGAGACGTGGTGAAACAACACCCAGTCACATGGTTGGACATCAGCTCTTGGGGAAGAGCGTGCAAACAAAGAGCTGGAGCGGTACAGGCGCTCACCAGAGGAGAGCATTCCCAACTACCTGGCTGAGATGAGACGTCTTTGCTCCTAGTACAGCAGAGTGGATCCGGAGACTTGCTTCAGTCAAAATAAGTCAATCTCAACAGTCAAATGAATCCCAAACAACAAGAAGTTAACAGTCAAATTACTTACAGTAATTCAATCTGAACAGTCAAATGAGTCCAAAGGGTCAAGAAGCCAACGGTCTAACAGTCAAATTAGTCCGCCGGTTATGAGAAATACATAGAAATACCCAATAATCCCGATAAAGAACTCCGGCCAAAATCGTGATAGAGCCTAACCGAACCTCTAAAATATCAACGGACACACAATATGCGCAACTGCATAACAATAAAGCAGGTGCAGTGCAGGTGTTGAATTCTGGCTCAACTAGGTTCTGGTCGAACTCTCAGACTCAGATTTTTCAGTGTGTTCAGCAGCAGTTTTAAAGTGCTTGGGAAGTGCGTTCTGGGTTGAAAGCACAACTGCGGTGTGACATGGGTGTTGCGCTGATATGTACTGATATGTGACATGTGTCAACTTTTAGATGCGTGCATACACCTTGTGGATGGAGCGCACAGCAAGAACATATCCCTAAGCTCGCCTGTTCCTTTCATGTTCTACGGATTCCTTTTCTCTCGGACTGCCCTTTCTTTCTGAATATCCCTCTCACTTCTTAGCTAAGCGTATACAACCCGTCCCTTCCCCCCTTTGTAAACACCCCTCTTCGACTGTAACTGTTTGTCTTCTTGGGCACCCTTATATGGCGCGCTCATGACATAGCTTCTAGTTTAGTCTGTCTGCACATTCGTCGAATATCTGCCTCATTTATGTCACTTCAACATCGTTCTTGTTTCAAATGATGGTGATCAAGCCGCTAGCTGATTGGTGAGCCCGCCATGAACTCTACCCCTATCATCCTGTCGGCCTGCACCCTTTTCCCCGATTGACCAGTTCCAACCAGTGCTTGCTTGTCAATAAGGGGATTATTGCCGGGAACTCCAAAAGCTTTTGCTTCCGAGCTGCTGCTCCAAATATATGTCGCGACTGGTGCCTGGCATGTGCATTGAGTAGTGGGCATGTGGCAAACCTGTCAATATTCAATTCAAGGTCAGCCGGAGCTTGCTACATTGCTACATGTCGCTTTGTGCTAAGGTGAGGCGGCATGACGCGCTCCTGACTTGAATCCTGGAGGCTCCTTTTTCCGGCCTCGCCACCTCAGCTGAGCGGTAAGCCACAATGTTCAGCCACAAGTCAAGGGTGTCAGGGGTTGCCAGGGCCGTGAGGGTCACATCTGAGAGCTTCACTGTGCCTTGATGGCGACCTTGGACACATTCCAGTGCGTCACCCTCCATAGCATTTGAAGTTGCAAAGCCCAAGGGTGCAGCTCCATCAATCAGCACCTCACCTCTTGCCTGATCAATGTTACAACGGAGGCTTGTTCTTTACGGTCCATTGCTCAAATGAAGCACACAATGTGTGAACAGCATGATGTGGAGCCGTTCATGCCGCTGAATCATCTGTGGAGCTGACTATGGCATCGAGCGCAGCATGCGCCGCCGAAGAATCACCTGAATAGTGCAGTCACATCGTCTCAATTTGCTTGCCCTTTAGATCCATTTTTATCCTTTAGTAGCGTCCTTGTTCCTAGTAGTAAGGCCAGGAGCCCCTAGTAGCGTCCTTGCTCCTAGTATGGCTGCAGCATGCTTCAGCTATCTGTTTGTACATGCGTGAAATTGTATTTGCTCACCGGTCCTGCCACAGGAGTGCCTGTTGCATCCCTTGTTCTATAAGCGCGAATTGAAGCGCTATTAAGCACCACGAATGAGTTTTGCCAAACAGCTTTAGGCATCTTCACACAGAAAGCACCAAGTTCAACACAATGTGGGCTGGTGGGTTGCAAGCGATGCACACAAGCTCACAAGCCTTTGTTCATTGTGAGTGAGTATGGGCGGCTTGAAATGGTGAGCCATGTTCTTGACCTTCAACTATTCAGAAAAAAGTTGTCCATGTCCGATGTCCTTACACAGAAGGGCGGAGCAACCTCACAGGAATGTGTTCGAAGCAGAAGCAACAAGCATCATCCCCAATCAGCCCTGGGACCACTGTCAGGTATCCGCTCCTTGATTGATCCGCAGTCATGCGGGACCCAGAGCCTTCCCAATGCATATTGCAAAACAGGCTGACCCTCAAACATACAAGTAGGAATAAACAAAATGTGTAAACGCACGCCACTCTGACTGGATCATGCTTAACAACCCAATCTGCGACCCACAGGTTGTTCGCGAACAACCGAACGTCGTCGTTGGCTTACTGATTTGTATACAGTATATATATATATAGACACATATATCATATATACACTAGGTCCAGACTTTGATTGGAAATGTCTTCAAATGGGGCGCAGGTGAAGTGCCTTTGGAATTGATGGCTTCAAAGCATCGTTGTCAATTCAATGGTCCTACAGTCCTACACCTAAAATACCATCTGGCAAATCTCAACCTTTGCACAAAGGAGTTCCTCATTGGATTTCACTGGCGTTTGCAACGCTCCCCTTTGAAAAGCTCAATTGACTCAAAGCCCATGTAAGCCCTGCACGAAACCGTACCCAGGGCGTATCCTGCCAAACACTGCCACTTTAGTGACTTTAGTGAACATCTCCGTCCTAAACGACTGGTCCTCCCGAGGGTCTCCGATCTTGTGGCAAATGTCAATGTCCCCGAAGCGCTCCAACCTCGCATCAATGCCCAGGCAATGCCCTTGCCCAACCCACTTAGCATCTAGGATCCTGGCTGCGTTTTCAGTGACAAGCGGGTTGTGCCAGAGTGCACTCCGTCCTCAGGCTTGAAAGGCATGCAACTGCAAATCATGCACCAGCTACTGTGGACCCGTGCGATAATTTCTATGGTGTCCCGAACTGCCTTGGACAGTCAGTCTTAGCATTGGACAGTCAGCTTAGCATCTGAAGATGCGGCACCGGTAGACGTGCTACAACGTTTCCCAGGTCACACTGGCACCCTCAGTGCAGGACCATTGTGGGGACATTCCCAAGATAGGGCGAACCTGAGGTGGATACAAGCATGGGGAGTAGCATTCGACATAAACTGGCACGACCATACTTTGTCTTATGCTGCTGCTGCTGCTGCTGCTCCTCCCGAACACTGGATCAAGTGTGGCCGCTCATGTGCCCGGGGCCACAGCGGGACAAACTATATAGATATTTTGGCGAGGTGGTGAGACTTCTTGGGCTATGTAAACGGCTCACATGCATGCATGTTTGAAGGTGCACACTAATACTTATCAGCCGTCCTAAAAGTCTGAGTTTGCAATTCCACGCTGCCATCGTAGGCTGAGATTTCGTTCTTGAATAGTTCAGGTTCCTTTCATGACCCTTTGGTCATGACGGTCATGATGAGTGCGGGGTACCAGCGAAAACCGCGGCCCACCTGATGCCTTGCTTTGGCCCGTTTAGGGCAGCGGCTACATTTCACAATTGAAGGCCCAGCTACAATCACCGCGCCACGAAGCTCTGAGGGCAATTCATGCAGCTGTTCGGACTGGCAGAAAGCTCAAAAACTATCAACCGGCATGATCTCTTCAGGCTTTTGGACAAATCGAGAGAAGAAGGTCCTGGGCAAGGTGACGCTTGCAACTCACACACACACACCAGTAAGTAAGACACAGGCGTGCAGTTGGGATCGCAACAGCCGAGCACGCAAGCTCTAATTATTGGGCGGCTTTGGTTTGATCATGTTTGATCCTTCCAGCTTAGCCATGACACCCAAGTGCCAGTTGCAGGCCCAACTTTGCCACCAAGAATGGCCTCGAAGACAGGGCGAGGGCATGCCAAAACTAGATAAATCTCTGCAATTAGCGCAAAGATTTTTGCACTTTCATTGCAGGTGACAACAAGTGAGGAGAAGTGCCACTAGCCTTCTCCGCGCTGCACGGCGCAAGTGCTGCAGCATCAACCCCCGAAGTAAACGTCGCGCGCGCCGCCTGGAAGTCAATGCAAGTGCATCAAGCAACACGGCGCACATGGCCCATGATGCGTCTGCTACAAAGAGCTTCACAGGCTGAAAGGTGAGGATAGAAGCACACACTGATAGAGTATTTTTGTTGTGGCGAATGACAAAAGCTCAAGAGGCCTTGTTGGCGTTGGACGCCGCAAGGGGCTTAAAACGGCCTGCACAACTTTGAATCTTTCTATGCCTTCTGTACAGCTGCATCAGCTATGTCACCTGAATTGCTAAGGTCAGAGTTCTCAGCAGTGACACCTATTGCTAAAGTAGATTCTTCGACAAAACGCACCTCTACTGCTCTGCGTCTCAATGTCGCTGAGGCTGCGCTGGTGAGATCCTGCAAAGCCGAAATAGACCGAAATGGATTCTGCTGACCACCTGTGTGAATAGAACAAAAAATTACAAAATGTAAAAGGATTAAAACGGATGTGCTGCGGATCGTCTGTTCTGTATTTTGATGTCTTTATGTGTGTATGAGCACGGCCACATCGTTTGGATGTTGAAATTGGGCTGGCTATATAAAACCCGGCATTGATCATGTCCTCGAGCAAAACGATACTGTCCAGCGAGGCCTCGCCAAGCTCTCATGCATCCAAGCATAAGTCTTGACACGTGACATTTGAAAAGGTATTCTGGTACCAGCTATTTTAATGTAGACCATGTTGCCTTTAAAGTGGCTCCCCGTAGACAATTTTGCCTTTAAACCGGGTCCCCATACTATGTTCCCGTTACACCGCGCCCCTGCACTCCCAAAATAATAGCAGTCCAATCGATTCTCTCCCTCGGAGCAGATGCAGGAAGGATAGGATCTCCGGGTCCCCAGCCAGAATTTTGCGGAGCTCACGGCCATCCCCAGTCAAAAGCACCTACAGTAGTAGAGCTGGCGATGCTTAAACACCAAACGAACGATGTGGCCACAGGCTGCCAAATGTAATGGCTACCCCACTCATTGCACGAAAAAACTAAGTTGGTCTCATCAATGATGGTGCTCGTGGCCTCAGGCTCTCCCAAATCCAAAGTCAAGTGTCTCAGATTGTGTCTCTGAAATCACACATGCTGTGCAGGCTTTGCAGCATGTCAATGCACGTGCCAGAGGGTGTGGCCATGGATGCACTGTCTTTGGACTCTGATCGCCTGCGTGGCAGACTGGGAACACCCCAAGGAAACCGCTGGAACCCACCTCTTGCCAGAGATAAGTGAACCCCGCAGAAGCGAGAACAGCCTGGCACGATGCGCAGCACTTCATGGCCCACCTATGCGGATATCCTGTCTATTGAGCTACAAGTATTTCGGAAGAGACTCCTCAACCTCCGTCCCGAAGGAGCTTCCTTCACCAATGAACTCTGGGCTCTGGAGGCTGAGAAAAATTGAGAAGCAGCTGCAGCAGCTGCGGTTCCTCCAAGATGGTCTGCTTCAACAACTGCTTTCCGTCATGCGTGCGAGGGGTCCTCAGGATGAACTTCGCGGATTCTTTTCTGAGAAGCAAGCATCAGATCTGATATATAAATGAGCCTGCACAGCGGTACGACTGTGCGTTGAGGCTAGTGGCAGAAGTCTGCGAAACGCATATGGTGACGACGTAGTGTACCTATGCCAGACACATCCAGGCACAATGCAAAACCCAACATTCCAAATTCATGCGGCATGGGTGCATGTTGAAGTCTGGATCTGCGGCAAAAGCAATACCTTCCAACCTGGAGAGCAATGCTAGCGGCTTGTCAACTTCTGTCGCAAGGGCAAGAGAGCAACTAAAAACACAATGATTAGGCTTGCTTCAGCTAAGACACGTCACAAACGAGCGCATCACAAGGATGTAGTATGACCTCCAACAACTTTTGCGAACGCATGGGCTCCGGGACTGTTTTCAAGAAGTATTTGACTTGGGCTTTCTATTCCACAAGCACCACTGAATCGCCTTTCTGCGGTCCTGTGATGCCTTCATGAAAAGAGCCAGCGCCATACTCAGACTCCCAATGCCGCTGTTGCTTTCCAATTCCATTTGCAGCGGAATGGTAACGGCCATTGAGGCCGAATCGAGATGAATCGAGAAGATAGCGTTTGATTCAGAAAACACGGGCATCAAGGCGACCACCGGGGTCATGAAGCTGCGGTTGGGTGATGATCGCCAAATCCCACGCACGACAAAAAAGAAGAGGTAGCAAGAGTATCCCCCCACAAAGGCCGAAAAACCAAAAACCGAATCCCGAAAGTGACGCAAGCACAGGCTCCAGGGAGGGAGGGGCCTCCCACAAAGGCCGAATCCCAAAAACCGAGAATCTCGAGAAAGGCAGCAGGCTCCAGGGAAGGAAGGGTCATAGGCGTAGGCCGAATCCCGAATCAAGAAAGTACACTTTGAGGTTGCTATACGTGTTTAATTACAAAACACGGGCGTCAAGGCAATCATTGGGGTACGGTTGGGCAACGAATTTCCAAACACCGGACGTCAGATCCCACCAAGAACCCAAAAAGAAACAAGAGCAGGAAGAGGCAGCAGGAAGCACATGCCGGGGCGCAATCATGTCTAACTCAGCATCCTTGACATGTCTGGTCACTTTGTCCAAGGGAGTACGCTTTGCGGTCCACTCGGCCGCTGTTGTTCTAGATCTTGCAGTTCGATGCAGTCCAACTGAATGCTATTAGTAACAAGAAGCTACTAGGGGCTCCTGGCATCGCTACTAGGAGCAAGGAAGCTACTAGGGGCTCCTGGCCTTACTACTAGAAGCAATGTTTGCAATTAGGTTGGAGGCTATCAGCCAGATCGACAAGTTGACCGCAGAGTGAAACCAGAAATGATGCCCAAAGAGTGAAACAGTGAAGCGCCAAAACCAAACCGGAAGGAATCCTCCTTACAAGGGGCCTACCCCATCGAAGGCCAAACCCGAAATTAGATTCGCGAAGACCAAATTCTCGAATCCAACTTTCACCGGAGATCGGATCACCACTCGTCCACTTGGTCGCCAGTCTTTGCATAACTTCTCAGCTCCACACGGAAGGGTGAAGTAGTAGCCTTGTTGCAAAACTGTGAAAATGTGACCGAACTTTCATTTTGAAGGGAAAGACTAGATGCAATATATGACACCGAAGAAGGGGAAGCCAGTCCCTGTAGGAGTTGAGACGGAGAAGTCGAAAACATATTATTGTTTTATAGGCTAGGGTGAAGTCGAAGCTGCACTTACTTCTTACGTTTTTTAAGGTTTTAGCCACCGGAGAACAGAAGGCAAGGATACGTAAAGTTTCACATTGAGGCTCGATATGGTAGAGCCTGTATACACAAGGCCTTCACTAACCCCCATCCACTCCCCCATCCACTGTTACTTTTCATAGGATAGACTTGGGTCCCGCGTTCTTGGTTGGACATTTACAGTTCTAGGGGGTGTCCTTTTTCTTCCGGGTTATCCTTAGACTGTGGCAACTATTCCAGGAGGACCATTGCACCCAACCTTCCCAATCAATCTGCTTACACACAAGGCTAGTCAGTGATTTCAACTCAGCTACTAGCGCGACTTTCCTCTCCTATCATTCTGAAAACAATGCAATGATCGTCCAGTCTCCTGGCCTCACCAGGACCAAGACCCTCAAAACCTTCCATTCTCACTACCTTTCGGACCGCCTACCTGGGTTGTACAGTCCTGCGTTACGAGCTCACTGCGTTCGCCCATCGAGGACTCAGCCAAGCCTATCGGCTGGCTTTCATAATTTTGTTTAAAGCTCGAGGGCGTTAGGCCGCTAGGAGGTAGGTTGGCTAGTAGGGAGAGGTAGCTACAGTAGTAGCTTTAGTAGCTACTAGTATGGACGCAGGATAGCTCACGCTTCTTCAACGAACCTCCCCCACCGCCTTTAAGGCGGCGGGGGGAGCTTCCTTGAAAACAAGTGCTCACACTAATGATTTTGGTTTCTAGAGTTTTAGGGAAACTTATATTAACTACAGTATATGACTATGACTTGACTAGATGCAATATATGACATTATATGACTATGACTATGACTGGTCTAAACATTGCCCAGCGGCGAAAAGCCAGGCTGCTTAACTCTTCGTACAGCCTTTGCCCCAAGAGTAGGTCAAAAGCAAAGG